CATAAGTAAGCTCTGATGACATATCTGGAACTAAATTTTTCTTTCTTTTTGTAGTACTGGGGTTTGAACACAGGGCATACACTTTGAGCCACTCCACCAGCCCTTTTTTTGTGATGGGTTTTTTGAGATAGGGTCTCACAATCTATTTGCCTGGGCTGGCTTTGAATGGTGATCCTCCTTATCTCTGCCTCCTGAGTAGCTAGGCCAGAACTAAATTTTTTAAAAGTAAACCTCTGCTTTCTTTTGGAAAACCTAAAACTTTCATTTCTACTCTTTCAGTTGCCTTTTATTCATGACTTGTGGGGATGTGTGTAAGGTGGTTCCAAAGATCCCCAAAAAGTTTTTCTTCAGGATGGAAAAAAAGAGACAATGCTGGGTATGGTTGCACATTTCTTATATCCCAGCACATAAAGGCTGAGGCAGGAGGATCATCAGTTCAAGGCCAGCCTGGAATACATAGCTAGACCCTGACTCAAAAAATGAGAGAAAGGAACTGGAAGTGTGGCTCAAGCGGCTTGCAAAGCAAGTGCTCAGCCCTAAATTCAAAGCCCGGTTCCACCAAAAAAACAAAACAAAACAAAAAAACCCTTCTGGTAGCTTCAATATTACAGATGTAATAAATAGCCTCCTTCTCTTTGAAACATGAATTCACATATAAGATTGAATTCCTTCTCCCTTGTAGCAGTTTCTAAAAGAAAATTAAGTGAGTTAATGGTATTTTTAAGTACTGTTAGGGCAGTATTGTTTTTACTCCCCAGATTCCTTCATGGTCACCCAAATGCAATGTATTTCAAGAACTGTTCTCAACTACAGCCTGGATTTAAGCCCTTTTTTTTTCCTTTTGGGGCATTCAGTTTTCCTTTTGTAGGACATAAGCCAGCGTCTTATTTCCTGATGCCCCTTTCCCTTTCAACTTCTGCCTTTTTCTCTTTTTATTATAGAATCAAGCCCGTCAGTGATGTTTTTGCCTTGATTTCTACATCTTCTACTCCTTCAGTATTCCCTGTATTTAATTTCTGCTTTCCTAAACTTGTTTAGTAGACTGTGTTCTTAACATTGACTTGAAGGTGCTGTGT